AAATCATATGGAATAGCAAAGATAAATTCAAGTCAATGTTATGAGTCTTCTAACATTTTCCTGTCTCTCAAGTTTGAGGCACCCTGAGGTGAATCTACATGAAGTAAATGGCATCTATTACTACACAGGAAGAGCCTGTGGAAGTTTTTATCATGGTGGTGGGTCTATGATGAACAAGACAGATGTGAGTTGGGTTTATCAAACTGCTGACAGTGCTGATGACAAGATAGCAGGACACAAAGAGTGTTGTGTTTTGTACCGATCCCTCAGCAGACCTCCTCCACTGTCAGCCCCTGACAGAGGGGACGCTGGCTCCAGGGTTTTTGTGACGGGCCACTGACAGAGGCGCTATTCAGCCTGTGCTGAGGGGAAATGTGTTTATGTGTAATTTGTGTATGTATGTCTGAGTGATGTGTATGGATATGTACTTGACATGTGTGTAGAGGATGACTGGCAGGACTTTATGCCTACATAGTCTAAGTGGATTGGAGTTTTGGCTGCAGTTCAATATACAGGAAAAAAAAGAGAAATCTCAAGGCAGGCAGGGTGTTGTCCTTGGCTGTCAACCAAAATGAATAAAGGATGTATTCATTCCTGTATAAAGTTAAATGGCCACTGGCTCAGTGTACAGTAAGTAAGTGCTGTCAAATCAAAGATTGCAATGACAACTGACAATTCTGGAAACACGAATTGTTATAGTTACAGTAGTACCTAAAGAAGTACTCCACACTTAAACATGTTTTTTGGGCTGTAAAATCAATTATATGTGCCTGTACTGTGATGACACACATCAGTGCCTGTGTTAATATCCTTCACAGGAGTTGATGCAATGCAAATACAAATGCAACGCTCTCATTTTTATATTTTGTCGCAATTGTTCGGAATTGCCCTTAAGACTGCTGTAGAAGCACCGGACTGCAATCTTTACATTCATCCTACACGCACTGACAGTTCCTACACCAACACACACACATACACCTACAACACAGGAACCACACAGAAACTTTTACAAACTGCAGTGAATATGCTTCTAGTGACTGTGAAAGCTCCAGAGCAGACACACAGGGTCTGACAGCAGCTACTCATGGCTGGTTAGCTTTGGCTACCAGCTCGCTGTTCCTGCTACACTGCCACAGCCTGTCTGACACTCAAAGCCACGCCCCCTAATGTCACTGTCCTTTGGAGTTCTCTAAATATTTTTTTTAATTTGAGAGGAAGGGAGCTAGCTGAGCTGAAGGGTGTAGCTACACTTAAAGGAGCATGTACTCACATATACTGTAAGCTATCATAGCATACAGGCTAAATCTATACTGATCTTTATGACAACAGCAAATACACTGTGCAGTACATGAGCTGCTGCTATCCGTCATTAGCAACACAACACCGCAGGTCTCACCTGGTAAATGCCAGAAACTGCAACACCAGCAGGTTGCCCTGTAGAGGGTCAGTCTCTTCACGCTGGGGGTCAAAGGGCATGGGCTCTGTGGGGTCCAGGACTTCCGCCACCTGTCCACTACAGTCCACGATGTCAGGAAAACCAGCGGAGTAGAGGTGGGCCAGTGAGCTCCTAGAGCTGACTGAGCTGGATCTGGAGGAGAAAACTTAAATTAGAGAAATGTTCCAGAGTCATGAACGCACATCGATCATTCTGCAAGCCGAAGAGACTTCAGAGAATGCCGTTCCTGGTGCTTTACAAGCAGCAGGAGGTAATGTGTTTAGTCCCTGATGTACCGGCCTCACTTGGGTGATTTGTGGTTGTAAATGAGGCAGAACAATTTTTGAGTAGATCTGAGTGGAATAATGTGGTGTTTTATCATTTCAGACTCAGCTCAGTATATCTTGGATCAGTTCCATTGTGACTCAAGATGTTTATCTTTTGGGAGATAACTTCAATTTACTCACTTCATCCTGTTAAGCTGAAACTGAATTTTAATACCTGGCTGGACTTAACAAAACCGCAGTGAAACAATGATTAGACAGCATGAGGATGTCAGCAATATCCGTCAAGCAGCGGCACCACAAGAACGGTTACAGGGGAGAGAGAACGGGTGCCAAAGCACTCCCTCAGGAGTTTCAAGCATAATTGGCAGTTATCTCTAATCATGGTGGCCACCTGTTTTTCCACAACTATGGTAACATTCATACTTTATACTTTCCACGCTGACACCAAACACTCTGGGTATGATAAACACAGTGCACAGATGGCTGGCTAAAGTGCAAGCACAGGAAAATGAACGATAATGTTTGGGGCTTATCACAACAGTAACGCTGCCTGTGTCCAGTTGGTAAACAGTTGAGCCCACAGCGTCGTATTTGTAAAAGAATGAAGCCTTGATCAAACTAATTAAGGCAACAACAGTGAAGAAGACAGCCGATTGGGTTTTCCTCTGCGGCTCTGTCAATTTCATGCTTTCCCTCTCTCTTCTCCATCGCTCAAAGTTATATCTTAATTTAGCCCCGGTGGATTAATATTCAAGCCATCATTTGTATTTCAAAAGGGACTCAATCAGATATGCAAAGAAACTTCAATTAAACTTCTTTAGACTTCATTGTTCTTCTCAAAGAAGTGGGTCATTCCATACTGAAAACAGTGAAAAAGATGTTTTGGCTCCGAGTGAAGAGGCAGAGATGTTTCAGCCCACTGAACTGAACAGCATCGTGTCTGGATCCAAACTCTGGGATTGGGAAACTGTTTCGGTGCCAGCTGCTTATTTACAGACTCTCTGCACTAATGCAATGCCTTGTTTCCGAGTTACTGTGCCCATTATTTGCAGGATGTACTTTCTCATTCGATGTCCCACCTCAACAGACCTGGCTGCGATTATGATATCCTCTCCAAACTCTATTATTAGTTGCAAAGTAAACTGTGAGCTCATTTCATTGCATTCTGTAACTCTCAATCAACTTCAAAACCTCCTCCATGCAGCTGGTTATAATACAGAATTTTCACACTAACAAACAATGCTGAGACCATTACCCAAAGTGGGATGTAAAGGCTGACACAACGATTTCTTTAAATTGGCTCTGAGCTGAGTTATCCTACGCTTACTGACAACACCGCTATACCAAGCAACGAACACATGCTGCCAATTAGTGAGCCAATCGATATTCCTCTGTAGACAGCAAGACAGTGTACTATGGTGGTAATGAAGGACTATACTGGTGTTCACACTGAGATACCGGGCCAGATAAAATGGTAGCATGTTAAAAGGATCTTTAAAGTGGTTTTATTCAATAATGTCTCCTACCTCCTGTGCTGCAATGAAGAGGTTATTCACACCAGAAACTGTGGTGAGATGCTGATCACAGAAAATACAACAAGGAGATAAGGAATAAATATGTAACAAACTCGAGCGCCATGGTAATCCAGAGAGGCCAGGTGGGCAATCATACTAATGTCATATATCCAGAATACACTAGAACGACCTTTTCTACACTCAAGTGCTGACCACCAAATTAATTCCATTAAAGTCAGTATACGGCTGCACATCATGAGTATCATTATACTGACAAGTGCTTATCATTTCACAAATACCAGCTGGCCTCTTTATTGTGATTCATGTCATACAGCTGGTGTCAACAACAACATACATGAAGTATGTTAAGAGGTTCATGGATTGCTTCAGGTTTCAGAGAGCAGAATGGTCCTAGCTACTGGATTTAAGACCAGCTTATGCAAATAACTGACCTAGTAATGATGATTCCGGGGCAAAGAGGAAAGCATGAAAACGGATGTCTCGAAATAACACGTTTAAGGAAATAATAATCCAGCATGTTTTAAGTCTGTCCTGTGTTACTCTTGGAGTAAAATACATTTATGAGAGCTGTATTACAATATAATATTCCTCTGGACATTTGGCTTCCCATTTGTTTTCAACATTTTTCATGCAACTATCACTGAAAATAGCTGAATAGGAATGAACCCCCAAAACTCTCAGAATGACATTTCATAGTTTCAGACACTTCAAGAGACTTTGGGATTTCCAACCATCTTTTTAACCTGATCATACAGTATTTCTTAATGGTGGCTTCAACTAAAACTGTTACTGAGGCTTTTTGTAGAATAAAAACATTCAGATTTTCTCAAACAGATCATCGCCCACGCCTGAAGAACACAATAGATGGGGCTCACCTAGGCACATTCATCCCCAGGGTGATGACAGGGGCATGGACAGGGGTGAAGGGCAGCTCCTGAAGTTGGTCTCCTTCGTCTTGAGCTGAAGGCGACGCCTCCCCTTGCCGCTGAAGGTCCATTTCCAGGTGAGCGATGTTGCTGACACCTGAGCAGGCCTGGACCAACGTGGGATGACACATACGAGAAATAATCGGCTGATAAATAAAGAGGTTATCCGAAAATTGCTATAGAAAACTCATTTTACTCAGGGTGGACCATAGTTAAAGTGTAAAAAGAGTTCAGGAAACCTCAAGTGAAGGTGTTTGCAGTTCAGGATGATGTTTCTGTTGACGGTGTAAGATGGACATAGTAAACTAAAAGCAACAAAAAAAGATTTACTGCAGAGAGGTCTACACAAACCATTTAAAATCATGGAGCAGGATTTCTTCCTCACCTTCCTACTGTATAGCATATATAAAGGCAACCCTTTGAATCAGTATTGCTGCAATAAAGCAGTACATGATTGCTGTTACTTTACACCCACAGTCTGTCATTTTATTTCTGCCAGAAGTGGACTGGAAATAAGTTGATTAAATGTGTGGGACAACATGAAACAACTGCACTGTAGTTACAGGAAGAAAGGATTTCAAAACTTACTAAACATTAAAAGTGGCTGCTGGATGTATGGATGCAATGCACAGTGGCCATATGTGACAGGGGGCATAAAAAGCTGTGTGAATGCCTGATTCTGATTGCCCACCTTTAAGTAACAAGGCATTAAACAGCTGTGTTCATCATCATACAAACCTAAGTTTAGCCACTAGTATTCTCCTCTCAGTGGTATGCTCAGTGTGTCGGAGCATCGTCATAGCAGTTTGTCAGGATGTGAGTCAGTGTTTAAAGCTGCAGGAGGCAACCTTTCTAGATTATAATTTACTTGGAACCAACAACTGTAAATCAGCATCTCTGGTAGCAAAATATGAACAGGATGACGCATGAACCCCAGAAACGCCGCTATTCTTATTTCAATGTGTGGAAAACCAGGAGACGTCTGAGGCAGAAGGTGTGACTTTGTCTTATCAGTCACTCCCAACAAGCTGCCTTGTCAATTATAAAATCATTATTTACAGTAGAGATTTCCTCTGGGATGTTTCTCTTATGTGGAACTGTTTTATTGCTACTGTTTTACTACTGGATTTTATCTGTTTTCGTGTCCCTTTTTATCTGCAAAGACCTCTATGACACACCTGTTTGTTAAAAATGCTCTATAAATAAACTTGGCATAAAGACAATACATCAACAAGAGAAAGCAGTAAGGTGTGCCAATGCAATTGATCAAGCTATCGAAGGGCAGAATATCTGGGAAAGATTATAAAGAGATGAATCAGCTCAGATAGTATACCCTTAAGAACCAGGAATACAAGGTATGCTAGTCTCATTAGACTCATTGCATGTAGAACATTTTTAAAACTCCAGAGACCCGCTTTCAGTCATTTTCTACCTAACATCTGAATCAGGCTTTTACATACAGCAGGAGCTTATGTCAAAATGCACATTACTGTGTTAAACTTCCCACTTCATTCTATAAAATTTGTAAGCAAATCCCATGAAAATACCAATACCAAAAATGTGTTAGTCCATCTGTCTACTTTTCCTTTTCCCTACTCTACCTGTGGCCCCAAGGCCATTAGTTCCTAGTTTAGATGCAAATCTTTAAAAGTGGGTCAGACGTTCCTAGTTTTATTTCTAAAGAAAGCTCAGTTATTTCCAACAGCTGGTCGCTGTAGTTTTTAGAAAATGTTACTCAAACAGGAGTAACTAGTGCATTTGTTGGGGACTATTAGTGAATTAATACACATTTTGTGCAAGTATTCACTGCAGCACGACAATGTATGTGGGATTGACTCAAAAGAAACTGGAATGTGTGTTCATGGTAATGAAGGAGCATGTCACCCAGTGCAACAGTGTGGTTCACTGATGTGTCTTAATAGTTTTTAGACAACAGTGGAGCTCTATGGCACAGAGGATAGATGTGTCAGGCTTTGGACACAGACAATACAAGGATCATCCCACTTTTGTTTTAGTCATGGGATTTGCTGACAAAAAAACAACATTATTTTGTATGTATTTGGTGGTTCAATTTTCTGATCTGTAATTTCCTAGAGAGAACTATGTCATTTAGTACTAATTGTATGATTCAGTTGCTATCAGTTTCAATGAGTTAATTCAAACAGATAGCTAAGGGGTTTAATCAGTGCACAGCAGATCAGTTGAACATTTCAATTTGTGACATTTGTCTACAGGCAAGAACACAGTTCAACAAATCTGACAAAAACATTTCCAACAACAAATTCAGACTGAATGAATATTTGCTTGGGTTTTGAAGTAGATTTTCTTTCAAGGACATTCCAAATTAGTACCAAATTACTTCATTCTTTGTAGGAAAATGGCCACACATAAAGTGTTAAGCTCCTTTTTTGTTGTGTGAAGATTATGTATTTTTGTGTAACCCTAGAGTCACTTCCTGCTTACAGAATGAAAACAACAGTGGTAACGTTTAATTTAAACCCAACTGCCATCCTAAGTGATGAGTTAAAAGCCAAAAATGTATTGTTTATGTTTGACTTTGAGGCAGTCTTTTATTCAATTTGCAATGCAGCTGCAGACATTCTTCTTCTTGTTATCAATTTTTGCTTCTTTCTACTTCACAATATCAGTTATTTAGGAAAAGAACAAGAACTGTTAATGCCTGTGGATCAATTCAACATTTCAGATTTTTTTTGACAAACATTAATCCCCTCCTCATTGTCATTGACAGACACGCAGCTGGAGGGGCATTAGCACAGATAATTAGCTAAGGAGGGCTAATGGTGTCATTTTCCAGTCAAGTGTATCTTATTCTGGTCTTTGATACATGTGCATGGTTTAGTTGGCCTATGATATGCATGGCTGTGCATTATTGGCTTTTCCATCAAACATGCTTGTAATAACCTCGACCAAAGTCATTCTGCAACATACACATCCATGTTCCTCCTCTGATCAAACATCCTGCAACGTAATAACCTCAGAGGATGCAAAGGCATGGTGTAGACGCCTTAACATGTTTAAAAGGCTCACAGTAATGGCTTTATACTGTATCTGAACCTGCTGCCATCAAGCCTGTGCTGCGTGATGACATACGAGTAACAGCTTTTTATAGGCAGGTGTGTTCAGGTTATGGACAAGGACAAATGGAGGTTTAAACAATAAATTCTGCAAGCTGATTTGATGACTCAATATATGCTAAGAGAATCTGACAGAAACTCACTTACAGTATCATAACTGAAAACTAATGGCAGCCAGCGAACTAGAGATATAATGCATCATACTTATTCACGACTTTAATGTTGATGGTGTTTATTCAATTTCCAACCGAGCATTGTACATTATCAGCAGCAGAGTATGAAACAAGCAACCACTGTCGCAGAAACTGTCACCTGAATTAAAAGAAAATATTTAAAGCAGTGTCAGGTGTTAAAAGATGAGTTTATGGAAAGAAGAAATACAGCATTCATTTGTTTACTGAGGAAAACTTGAATTCATAAGCAATGAAATACACCCATCCTCAAATCAATACACAGTATATACAGCTACAGGCTTATTTGCTAAATTGTAGTTTATGGAAGAGGTTCCCAACCTGTGGGTAACTCAGATTACTGTTTCAGTTTATTTTATGACTCCTCGCTATTATTGCTAGGAAATACTGGCTTTATATAGGGTTGTTCGCATTTTTTACATGTTTCACTAGTCATCATAGTTACTTCCACATGCTTGGAAAACAAGTTGTTCCTGGCTAACAGACAGGTAAATTGTTGAAATTTTAACAATCTGTAGTAATAAAAAAAAAAAAAAACACGTGGGTTATTCCAACTAAATAAAACACACAAACCAATCTCATTTCACTTGTCATACTTCATGGTATAAAGAATGCACATTGCTTGAAAGTCAACCAAAAATGCCAGTGATACATATGAAATAGATAAGTTGTTCTGACAGTTCCACAGCACGACCTAGTCAGTCTTTCAAAACCAAATTCAATTGTGCCTTTTTTAGCCATATTGTGTGTCTGATTATATTGTTATCTCCAGTAAGCCTGATCCACGGTTCCTGGATTATTCCTGCAATATGATTCATAGCTTAAGCTATATGGATTCCGAGCATGAAATACGGGAAAAACCCATTAAACCTACTGCTGTCTAGTTAGTATATGAGCAAAGTACGCCACAGCAAAGTGCTGTGGTGTACAAGCAAATATCTAGACATCCCCACACTAGCAGGCTCATGGAGTTGAAAGGCCGAAGGCTGTTCAAATGCTCAATTCATCAGGTCTGCAAGGGGCCTCAAACACAGTGAAGTTGAATACCTGTAGCTAGGCGTATGTTTTCAGAAAAGTGCTCAGAGATGGATTACAAGGTCAACATATCTGCATTTGACATATCCACATCATTAAATAATGTCTGAAGATGTCTACTGAATTTTATCCCGATCACAGTCCAGTGCCCTCACAGACCTGATGTGATGATAGTGAGCACAGTAGGTATGCTCAAAATCCAGACTGCAAGTCCCCACATTTAGATTTACCTGATTAGGTAATTGACATGTTGGATGTTATGTGTTTCCCAAAGTTATCTGTTGCATACTACATTCTGACTACAGTATGTGCACAATTCTAGCAAAGCTACTTTGCATCATATGTGGCATGAAGAAGGGCAACGGAGATCAGCTGTACTGTTATAAGAGAAATGCTTTAGCATGTGAATGAACTGAAACCGTTCACAAGTTCACAAATCCCTATACTTATCAAACACTAGCAATAATTGCAGTTTTTTCTACATCGATACATAGTACATCATCACATAAGAAGGTGCAAACCTCTTTTTGATAAGCAGAAAAAGATTGAGTTAATCCCAGGATTACAGCATTATGACTTCTTCTCCATTCTGTGAGATTTTACCACTGTTACTATTGTGCAGTGTGCTGATTCCCAAATATATGCATCTTTGTGGGTGAACATGGTTTAAATTAGCAAAGACTGCCTGCTGATTCTCAGCAGCCCACACCTACAACTGGGGGTAACAGGTTTCTCTCACGTCATTTCAGGAAATTATTCAGAGCTATTAAAATCAGTGTAGCTGACTTCCTCATTTTATGCTATCCCCTGGCTGCGATCATAGGACTTTGTTAAGATGCATAGAGCTTGTCAGCCAGTCAGATATTTTCTCAGATATTACTCCATTATCAACCACACGCTACTTTACTAGGATCTATGTGGCTTCAATTAGACAGAGCTGGGTTGAAACAGCATTTACTAAAGACACTGGGTTTGACCTCCTAGTAGTGCTGTGGTGTGGTTTGGTGGTGTGATACTTCCTAGAAAAGTTCAATAAATTATTTAAAAATTTAAAACTATGGTATTTCACCTACAGTAGGTCTGCAATTAAATACTACCGCTGTGACCCCCACATAGGCCATGAATTACATTTCAGAATGGGAGTTGTTACCGAAAAGCTAAATGTGGGAAACAAAGCGCTAAATTATTATTAAAAGTGGTCCTGAACAAGGCCAATGAAACACATTTTCCCAGAGGGCAAAACACAAGGTTATGTAGGATACTGGATACCTTAAGAAAATTGAAGTAGCCTTTGTAGAAAGATTTGAAAAGCTAAGTCAAAGAATAATGTTTCTTTTGATTATAAAGATGAAACAGAGTAGCTCCAGCACCTCCAGCAGCTCCAGTAGCTCCAAAGACAAAGAGTGTGCAGGGCTCAGTTCAGTTCAGTTTGGAGGTTGTATGTGTGCGTGTGTGTCTCTCCATGGGTATGAGGCTGAGAGCAGAGTGCAGTAAAGGTGAGTGTGTCTTTGAACTCTATTGAGTGACTGTCTGCATATCCTGGGGGATGTATAAAAGCTTACTGTGTTGTGTATTGCTGTGCACATTGTGTGTAAAGAAATCTACGACACCCTTTTGTTAATGCTTGTGTATTTTCCTCAGCATGTACGTGTATGAGAACAAGGCTGTGTGTGTGTGTGTG